CGAGTCTAATACATATAGATTGGAGGGCGAGTGGGGAGTATACATGGACAGAACGGACCCACCCCTCCCCCGGACAAATACGGACCCCCATCCCAGGTCACGGATGTCCCACGGAGAGCTGGATGTAACTGCATGGGAGCCCCACAGATCTGTCCTTAGATGAGAGCTGGTACTACGCAGATGGGAGTGCAGTGGCCTCCTCTAGCGTTGGTGGCCTCCTACAGCGTTCCTGGCCTCCTACAGCGTTCCTGGCCTCCTACAGCGTTCCTGGCCTCCTACAGCGTTCCTGGCCTCCTACAGCGTTCCTGGACTCCTACAGCGTTCCTGGCCTCCTACAGCGTGGCCGGCTATGCGCTCCCCAGTAGAGCGGGGCCCCTACTCTACACTGATGGGCTCCAGGAAGAGGGTCTAAATTCCGGCATATATGCGCTAGTCAAAGTCGCACCCAGAACTCCGTCCTCCGGGAACGGAACGACTTAGAAACGTTCCTCCACCATTATTCTCATCCATGCGCGTTACTCCTCAAGTCATCCCTGTACTCGGCCACTCCCACAATTCTTAGCTACAAAGGAGGAGGAGCTTATCGGGCCACTGGGTTATATCTGTGCAGATCCCGAACCCTAAGGCACACAGGCCTCAATCTACACCATGTCTGTGTGAGGCCAGAACCGCATTGTGTGCGATTGCTTGCTCGTGGTCTCCACCATGCTCTTGGCTACAGGTCCCCACTCTGGAGGGGGAGGGGCAGAGACACCAGTCGGCAGATTTTCGGCTACATACCTAGAGGCGTCTCGTCCAGAAGGGACTTTGCGTTCAGGTCGGCACCGTGGGCCACCAGCACCTCCACCAGCTGGATCTGGAAGGAAGAGACATTGACATAGAGATGAATGCGAGGTCAGAGGTCACATTGCACGCGTGTCAGAGGTCACATGGCACGCGTGTCATCGACAGTCCTCACCTGTCCCCAGCAAGCCGCCGCGTGGAGCGGCTCCCACCCGTCACAGTCCCCGGCGTTCACCGAAGCTTTGTGATCCAGGAGCAGCTCGGCAGCGTCCAGGTAACCGTTGGCTGCCGCGATGTGGAGCTGGAGGGATAGAAGTGAGTCAGTGAGAGTCGGCAGTCAGTGGGCGGGGCCATAACCATCACATCATGTGACACATTTCACCAATATGCCGATTGGCTGCTGAGAGTTGGGCCTGGTTAGGGTTCCAGGCTACACCAAGATGTCGGACTGAGTCATTCTACATTGCGGCCTGTGTCCCGGTAAGAGAGCGTCACCCCCCCGGTGTCACCGGTACAGGAAACGGGGGGAGATGCCATAGGATTGTCACCTAAAGAAGAGGTGATGGAAGACATTGAATGTTCCCGGGAGGTCCTCCAAGGACAACCCCCAATAGGGCCCCCTGAGAGCAGAGGACACGACTTTGTACCGTGCGGGTCCTACAGCAAAATGCCGAAACGCTGATGTGCCGGAAAGATGAAGACATCCAGGAACGCGCCCGCCGGCGATGGCAGACCTGGGGAGGTCCATGAAGAATGGTTTTGGACTTGAAGACATTGAGATCCAATATGCCCAGAACCCACCATTCATAGACCAAACCGGGGCCCAGAACCCACCATTCATAGACCAAACCGGGGCCCAGAACCCACCATTCATAGACCAGACCGGGGCCCAGAACACACCATTCATAGACCAGACCGGGGCCCAGAACCCACCATTCATAGACCAGACCGGGGCCCAGAACCCACCATCTATAGCCCAGCTTGGCCTGCACCCCTCCATGTATTGGGGTTCCCGGCATTTCTATGGTGTCCGCCGCGTATAATGTGGTTTCTTGGCTGGGATATGAGACGGGTTGAGATGCGGTGAAGGAGTCACATGACACCACGAGAGCTTCAATAATTCATAGAGGGGGGGGGAGGGGACTCTGGAGGAGAAATGTCCCCATCGAGGTCATTCCCATCCACACTGACAACACCGGCACGGCAAAACCAATAACAGTCTGCGGGATACGTAGTCGGGGGTCTCAATCATAATACAGATCTCCACCGACCAGCCGATGTGACAACCGAGAGGGGCAGAACATTGATCATCTGGGCACAATGACACCTGGAAG